ATGGGTTCCCTCAGGACATTGTCTCGGATAGAGGGCCCCAATTCATGTCTAGGTTCTGGAAAGCCTTCTGTCGGCTGGTTGGTGCCAGTAGCAGCCTCTCGTCTGGCTACCATCCCCAGACCAATGGACAGACTGAACGCGCCAACCAGCAGCTCGGGCGGTACCTGCGCTGCTTTGCCTCTTCCCAACCAACCACATGGCCAAAGCATCTCTTGTGGGCGGAGATGTCCCATAACCTCCACGTCTCCTCGGCTACTGGTCTTTCCCCGTTCGAGCTGTGTAATGGTTACCAGCCCCCTCTGTTCCCTCACCAGGAACCGGAGACGGAGGTTCCTGCGGCCCAGCTCCTAGTTCGACGTTGCCGTCTCGCTTGGATCCGTGCTCGGGCTGCCATCACACGAGCTAACACGGAGTACTCACGCCAGCATAAGCGCCGCCACCGGCCTGGTCCGACCTTTCAGCCGGGCGATAATGTGTGGGTGTCTACTCGTAACATGCGTTTGCCCGCCGGCTCCAAGAAACTCAGCCCACGGTTTCTGGGTCCTTACCCCGTGGAAAGGGTCATTAACCCCGTGGCTTACCGCATCCGCCTGCCCCGGTCTCTCAAGGTTCACCCAGTCTTCCACGTTTCCCAGCTGAGACTGGTCAGGACCTCTCCTCTCGCTCCCCCCCCTGTGCCCGCTTCACCGCCTCGTGGGGTGTGCGGTGATGGTGTTTATGCTGTGCGCCGCCTGCTGGATGCCCGTCGCCGTGGCAGGGGATGGCAATACCTGGTGGACTGGGCGGATTACGGACCGGAGGAGCGTTCATGGGAACCGTCGAGGGTCATCTTGGACCCCTCTCTCATAACGGACTTCTGGGCTCGCCGCTCTGGGACTTCTGGGGCCGTCCCTCGGGTGGGGGGTCCTGTCACACAACCTCCCGCTCAGCCGTCAACCTCCTCTAGGGAGGCACCGCAGAGCCGCTCAGACTCCATTACCCAACATCCCTAGCGCCAGGTTTTCCGTTTCACGTCACCCGCCAAACCTATATAAGGAAGTGCCGCACAACGCCGGCTCACTCAGTCATCGTTCTCACCGAACTTAACCTAGAGTCCTAACCAGATCAGCTCAGATCACGAAGCCTGTTCAGATCAGACCAGCCCGATCTCCGAATCCTGCCTGTTCGTACAGATCAGCTTCAGACCAGGAGTCGCCGTGTTCAGCTGTGTCACAATACAGCTGCGTACCCGGCTCCCAGATTAAACAGCGTGTCCATTCAACCCGGCGTCAGTCACTCCGCGCTTGGGTTAAAAGCCACGCCACATCCAAACTCTCGCCCAGCTCGAGTCACCCCGTTACACTTTGCCTCAGCTGAGTTCATAATCTGTGCCCCGGTGATTTCAACTCATTACTGCTGGAGCGCAGCGCATGTGTAGATCCCTTTGGCTGATCGTTAGAAAGTAGGAAGTCTAGGAAACAGTTTTTCTGGAAGACAGAGAAAACATGCAGCATGCAGGAAGGTTAGAGAGAGAAAGGGCCGGAAATTATTCAAATAAAATCAAGAAAAAAAGAAAAAAGTAGGTAGATTTATCCCCGATACACATTTTTACCAGTGAAAAGCAATAATATATAAGCATTTAATATTTATACATGTGATAGAATCAGATCACCCCAGAAGTCAGTCCCACATCCAGGGCCGTATCAAGGCATTTGGGGACCAAGGCAAATATAGGCTTGGAGCCCCCACCACCTCACTCCCTGCTCAGTTAATATAAGATGGCAACATGCTGAGAGTACAGATTGTTGTTGCTTTTATTTAATAAACAATCATTTTAAAGCACTGTTATTATTTCTGACTGTTTTAACAGCAATCCTAGCTCAGACACCACATCACCTTCCACATATATGTCATGAGCTCACTGAGCGTCCCATTACGAGATTCAGACTGAAGTTGTATCGGTGAAAGTAACTTAAAGTAATGCAAAAGTAGTGTAATGCCTTACATTTTAAAATCAGTAATATTGTAATGTAATGAATTACTTTAAAATGAGGGTAACAAGTAATAAATAATGCATTATAGTTTTGAAGTAACTTGCCCAACACTGATCACTAATTACACTTTCACTTTCGTCTGTGCGTTTGTGTCACAGGCCCAGTTTTTTTTGTTTTATTTTTATTTATTTTTACTTTACCTAAACGTAAATAATTAAATTTAAAATTAAACCCATAGTGTTTATTTTCAGACGGTAAATGTGTCACTTGAAAAAGGTAGAAAAGCATGGAATATAATTTTTGCTGACCTGCTGTTAACTCATCAATCTGGTCAACATTCAGTTCCATTTTTTTCTAACTTAGGTTGTTCAAATAGCTTTCTATAGCATGTTAAATAGCAAAAGATCGTAACCTTTTCACAGAAATGCACTTTCACATGTCTAGTCAAAGAGGCTGATCACACCGTAAAGACCACTGATCACCATAAGACACCATCAACTCATGGTTGTTGTTTCTCTTTGAGTTATTATTTGTGCTTATTATTTATAAAAAGAAATGGTCAAACACAATACTTAGTTGTTTTGTTTAACTTCTATCAGCCTTTTTTATGCACTCCATTTTCATTGTATGTTTCAATGCTATGTCTCAACATTTCTTGTGTATTTAGTCTACATGTTTCTCCAATCCATCGCCTCCTGTCTGCTTGACCTTTCTTTACCTTTATCAAATCCATCAAAAATATGGTTTATTATAAAATAATTCAGAATGCACTTTAGCTTTGCCACTTGCTGATATTTTAAGACATTAAATATGATGGTAAAACTTCTTCTACTTTCTTTTTGAGCTTTTCTCATCAGGAGTCTCCACAGCCAATATGGCTCCATTAAGTCCTATCTTCTACAGCCTCTAACCTCACATCAACTTACTTTACATCCTACTTCATCACATCCATATGTCACTTTGTTGGTCTTCCTCTAGGCCTTCTGTCTGGCATCTCCACCCTCTGCATCCTTCTACCTGCTTCTACTGTACAACTGATGAGGACTTCCCAGTGGAACACTAAACTGGTTTCTTTGTTGAAGGAAATTGAATATCTATTGAAAAATGAGGCACTTAAAAACTGATTGTGTTTCCTGCGTGGAGACCAAAGCAAGGACACACTTACTGGAGCTTTCAGGTGTAAACACTGGTGGCTGGAGGGGCTGCAGTTTGAAAACCCCTGGCTGGTTAAAAAAGGTTTTTCTTGATGATGTTTTGCTTTTAATCCTAGGAATATTCCAGGTTATTTTGACAGAGATGGCTTATTTTACTTCTCTTTCAAACAAACAGGAATAAGAGAAGCCACCATTATCAAATCAGACAAAACAAAACAAACAGGACTGAATCTGATCCCCAAACAGTGCTCAGAAAGATTAGAGGAGCACCACTCCAGAGCAGATCCTGATAGGCCTGCCCAGTCTCTCAGCCTCTCCAGTAGCAGGTGATGGTCAACAGTGTCAAAGGCTGCAGTCAGGTCCAGCAGGACCAGAACAGAACAGTCCCCTGCATCACTGTGAGTCAGAAGGTCATTGGAGACCCTAAGAAGAGCTGTTTCAGTAGAATGAGCTCTACGAAAACCTGACTGGAAGCTATCATAGATGTTATGTTCATCAAGAGCAGCTGTGAGTTGTTTAGCCACAACCTTTTCCAAGATCTTGGAGATGAACGGAAGTTTAGAGATGGGTCTGAAGCTGCTATGGAGAGAGGGGTCGAGACTCGGTTTTTTAAGAAGCGGGTGGATTACAGCGTTCTTAAAGTAAGCAGGAACCTGACCAGAAACCAGAGAAGAATTAATTATAGAGAGCACGCTGGGACCGATGAACTGAAAAGAAAGAATGGTTCCAAATGCTTGCTCACCGGTCAGCCTAATTGGGAGGCTGGCGAAGAACTGAGGGACACAGGAAGTGATACCCGTTTTTTTCAATTGTTTGTTGACAAATTTAGACCAATCAGAATCTGACAAGTTTAAAGGTGTTACCAAAGACCTCTGAGAATCACTCCCTCGCTCAGATACTTAGAGGTTAACTCTCAGTGTGAAGTGAAAATCTTATACATCAATAATAATTTATGATATTATTGTGTTCATGCTGATAGATTAAATTACTAGAATCAACAATTACTGATCTGGTGAAATGTAAGATCTGAAATGAACCATTACAGGAGAAATATTCATTTTAACCCACAATGCAAAGCACAGGACACGTAGTTAAAATAGTTTGGATTTAAAGACATTATTCATTCAACAGAATAAGAGGTTTTTAAAAAGTAATTTATGACAAGAAAGATAAGCTTTATTCAGAGAGTAAAAGTCTAATTTTCTGCATGAGACCTTGGCTTTCCAGCTGTAAGATAAGGGAGCTAGGAGAAGGACTCATTATGGCTCCCTTATTTGATAACAAGGTCATTGAGCAGTGCTTTTCTGGTTTGGAGACCAGGCAGATATGATGTGGCACACCAGTTCATCTCGTTGTATCGGCACCACGGTGTCAGATTTACCTGTGTGAAGAAGCAGTTTGGGCCTGCAAGTTTAAAGTGAACTTTTGGTCATTTTGATGAAATACTTGGCCTTTTGTTACGCTAAACTTGTTTTTGTCCCTATAATGTCACCAGGCCCTATTGGCTGAGAAAATTCTCTTGCAGGAACTCTCGGTTATTACCACATCTTAGATAAACTGTTCTTTTCTGCACATTTGTGAGGCATAAAGCAGAAATTCCCCTTTAAACTTGATCTGCATGTGAGGAAAATGTGTGGTTGAACATGTTGGTACCAGCATCAGCTGCACTACATGTTTGATCTGTAGTTTGAATCTGATTTATTGCAATGCCTCTGCAATGCTCTTTTTTTTGTAAACATTATTTCAGCAGTATTATACACATTTGATTTATTCTGCTCCTTTCTACAAACCAAACAAACTCAGCTGTTTAAAACCTTGTGAACTTGTCATTATTCTGAAACCTCCTCAGAGAACAACCAGTCAGATGCATCAGTCACATCAGGGTGTTTATTGGGCCAAGGCAGCTTCCAAGCAAATTTAGATTTCTATCTCCACATTTACAAACAGAAAACAGCTTATAAAGTGATCTCAGACCAGCAAAAAGGAGTCTCAAAGAGCTCTACGTCCAGCGTGGAAGCATCTTCTTAATTCTCCTTTCCCCTCCTGCTTATTTGAATATACCAGACAGCCTAATAAATAAAGAAAATAAATATCAATCCTAATAATAATAAGGTTCTTTGTTCAGATAGACTTCAAATCATATAATCAAGCCGGTGGATTGGCTCAGATAATATATAATCATCTCAAATTACAATCTAACGTTCTGCAGCAGCGGGGCAGTGTGCATGTGACATAATCAGATATGTGATGATCTACTGGTCTGCTTTTGCCTGGGTCTCCCCTCCCTGCAGGTTGTCCACAGATCTCTTCCTGGCAAACAGGTGGGTGGGGTCTCTGCCTCTGAAGCCAGGCTGGATGTTGAACACAGGCATGTTCCTCCAACTGGTGGGGGTGTTGGAGACGGGAACGTCTGAGCTGCTGGAGCAAGGTTTGTTCTGGATGAGTTGGAGGAAGGTCTCCATGTCGGGCCCCATACGGGCCATGACGCCGGTCCTCACAATGGCCACTGTCTGCTCATCGCAGGTCTGCAGGGACTGCAGTAGGGTGCTGTAGTACCTGACAGTTCAGGAGCAGAGAAGTGGTTTAGAACATCCTTAAACTGCAAAAAGCTCCTAAGATTTTGGATCTGCTAACATAAAAAGATCTGGTTCTAATGCCTAACAAAATAAAATTAAATACAGAGGACACTTGCCTGGACTTTAAATTCAGAATAATTTATGCTTGTGTTACATTTGCAAAGGTTTTATGAAAGGATGGTTTATAAATTCATATGACCTATGAAATATTGTCCCCTAGTTAGAAAATGTCTTTATTTGGGATAAGGAATGTTATATATTAATAAAATATGTGATTGGCTGACATATTTTATTAATTTGTGTGTTGATACGATAGTTTAACAGTGACCCCAACTGGCCATAGTCAAAACGACACACAGCAGCTTATTCTTTTGAGCTCGAAGAAATGTGTCAAATGATCTCTTCAAAATAAAATAAATATGTAAAGTAGTTAATCAAGATCTTTTAAAAACATGTTTTTCTTTCTGTTTATTTCTAAATTTAAAAGCAAGCCTTATATTTTGAAACAAATGTTTGATAAACAGAATATTTTACGTGTTTAACACCCTCACTGAGCCATCTGGTTGTAGTTCTGTGATCATTGTGTGCTTTAGCAGCTGCCGGTGAGGGTTTACCTGTTGGGGAAGTGGGTGGGAACCTGTAACACCTCCCCGATGGCGTCGGGGTTTGTACGAGCCACCGTACAAATGTCCAAACTGGAGTAACACTCCTCCTGAACCTGAGACACAATCAAATTAAACACAGTGTTAACAGAAGTCACCTTCATTTGACACACACACCTTCACTTTGACTGGCTAGTCACACAAACAGAGGTGTAATTTACCTGAAGCAGCACGTCATCACACTGATGACTTTAACTGGTCACACACCAGCGTGCTGAGAACTCACTGCTTAATGTTATTAAATTAACTTATTAATTTAGACTGAAGCTAAAGCTGTACACAGGTGCCGTCAGCTGGCAACCCACCGATTACAGGGTGAACTTTGAACTCCTGAGCCACTATTGACATTGATGACAACAAACTATTGTTCATTAAGTCAGAACTTCAGCAAAGACAAGTCTACATATTACCTACATACTTCTGGTTGCTGTGAACTAGGTCAGTTCTGAAACCAAAATAAACAGTTTTACAAATCTCCAATGATCCAGGCTTTATAAATAACCATGTTTATGCCAACCAGCCAATGCACAAAGTCAAGAAGACGTGAAGAAGAAACTGGATAAAAGTCAGGATATGTATACTGAGCCTGGACCTCAGCGATCATCCTCTGGAAGATGTTACAGTGGCGAATAGCTTGGAAGACTTTGGTGGAGATCCCCTGGGAAATGCAGTTCAGACTCTTCTTCACAAAGGCTTTACCCTAAAGAGCAAAGACAGAGTTCAGACAGTCTGCAAGAGATGACCACATGTAGACACAGCGTGAAGATTTCTACTTTCAGTTCTTTTATAAAGATGATTTTATTTATTAAGGGAAACAATCTATCCAGCCAGCCCCACATGGGGAAGAAGGTATTGTTCTCCTTGTGAAATCATGAATAAGCAACATTAGATGATGAAGAAGTAGAACCTTTAGGAAGGTCGACGTTAAATCTAGATGTAAAACTAACGCTGCATTCAGAATACCAACACCAGTCAAACACAGAGGTGGTAGTGTGATGGTATGGAGCTGATCTTCTGCTTCAGAACTTGCTGTAATAAGTAAAACAATTAATTCTGCTCTCAACCAGAAAATCTTGATGGGAAATGTGTGACCTTTGGCCTTAAACAGGCCCTTCATGCTGGAACACTATCCCAAGTGGCTGAATTTAAATGTTCTGTAAAGAAAAGTGGGACAGGTCTCCTCCGCAGTAATATGAAACTCATTATCAGCTATCACAAACGATAAGAGTCAAGCCAGTTATTTAGGGGTCAGTACTTCTTCCGCAAAGGGCCAGGTTGGTTTGAATAACTTTATTATCTGTTTCGCTTAGTAAATTATGCCATTAAAGTGTTTGCTGTCTGACATTGTAATTTGTTTAATTATCTGAAACATTTAAGGAGATAAAGCTCTGCAGATCCTCACCTCTGTGTTGAAGCTGGCTGCTGAGTGGAGGAACAGCTCACAGATGTCGTGCATCCCATCAGTGTCACAGGTGGAGTTCTCAAGGCAGGAGTAGAACCCACAGCCCACGGTGGAGGCTTCATTCAAACATCTGGCCACATCAGCTGCAGAGACACATTAAGAACAGTTTAGATACTCCTCAAGTAGATTTCTGCTTCAGATTGAAATCACAACGATAACAGAACATCTGTGAATAAAAACTCTCTGCAAACATGGCAGAATAAAATCGTTAATGACTTGAAAAACATGAAGTCTCTGCTTTTATTTCCTGATTACTACATCTAAATAGAATCCCTCATGTACCCAGGAGGACTTCAGCAGTCTGCTCTAGTTTGGTTAATGCAGTACAACCAGGACTTACATGGGCTGTTGGAGGAGAAGCGAGCCCGACGTGGAGCAGCCTCCTCCGGCAGCTGGAAGCTGGCGGCGGAGCTCAGGGCAAGGAGGAGGAGCAGAGCAGAGGTGTGCAGCATTGTGTCTCAGAAGCAGCAGGAGGAGGTGGATAGAGGTGTTGTCTTTCAGTTCCTGCTGGTTCTGCTGGTTCTCCCACCTCAGCTCCTATTTATCCTGATCCTTCTGGTAACTGACCAGAGCTCTCCTTTTGCACACAAGCCAGTTAATGGTTTATTAACCCACACAGCTAATTAAATGTTACTCAGATCGGAGATAAGACTGACTCTCCATGCAGCAGGATGGTTCAAAACCACATCCTGCTGGTCAACTGCCTTATTTAACCTGAAACCATATTTGGATAAAATAAATAAATAGACTTTAGGAAATAAACAAGAAACTCTTGGTAAAAATGTATCATATATTTACAAAGTCAGAGGTTTTGAATTCTTGCAGCCCATAATAACGTTTAACTTAAAAAAAGAAGTCAGGTAGACCGGAAAACAAATGTGTTTGTGATTCCAGTCACGTTCACTGGTTTTACTGGGTCGTGGATCTGAGCATGACGTCAGCAGTGAAGTAATGAAGTAGTGTTGAAAAAAGGAGCAGGTTCTTCAGGGGGAATGTGAGTAGAAATATGCATAAAACTGCTCTAAAATGATGCGGATAAGTCAAAGAGAGTGAGTTCAATTCAATTCAATTTTATTTATATAGCGCCAAATCACAAGAGTCGTCTCAAGGCACTTCACATAATAAAAATTCCAATTCAGGTCAGTTCATTAAGCCAATCAGAAATAATGTTTCCTATATAAGGAACCCAGCAAGAGTAGTTGCAGAGAAGGTAAAACGTAGAAATTAAACATGTATTTAAATCAATCAATCAATCAATCAATCAATCTGTCAATCAATCAATCAATCAATCAATCAATCAATCATACTTTATTAATCCCAGAGGGAAATTGGGGCAGCAGTAGCTCAGGTGGTAGAGCGGGCTGACTCATGATCGGAGGGTCATGGGTTCGATTCCAGCTCCCGCCAGGGGTATCCTGCTGTTGTGTCCTTGGGCAAGACACTTCACCCAACTTGCCTGTGTTAGTGGTGGTCAGAGGGGCCGACGGTGCCAAATGGCAGCCTCGCCTCTGTCAGACCTCCCCAGGGCGGCTGTGGCTACAAGTAGCTTACCATCACTAGCAGTGTGTGAATGTGAGAGTGTGTGAAAGCTTCTTTGGGTGTCTAGAAAATCGCTATATAAGTTCAATGCATTTTTATTATTATTATAAATGTAGTTGGAATATAGTTGAATGTGGTCATTCGCAACCCGAGTCGCGCTACCTTAATAGAGATAAGAGGGTTACATGAGGACTGGTTCAGGTGGAGGGAAAAAAGGCACTTCAGAGTTACCCTCCACTGGGAGGGCAGCTTTGCACTGCAAAAAAAAAAAAAAAAAAAAAAAACACCTCAAACAGATATGCTGCAGACAACACAACATGAGACTCCAATAGGAAGGTGGGGGGGCTGGGATCCTGTTTCCCCCAGCGAGAGCAGCCATCTAAGGCGCTCATCTACTGTACAGTCACAGGTGGGAGGGAGATCTTGGGAGAAGCGAAGAGTACATTGACTCCTCCAGCTGATCACCTCACCTGGCTGACGTCCACCAATCTGAAGGGGGGGTTAGTTGCTTGCAGCTCAAGGCTACCAGGGCGTCAGATTCAATTAACAAGAATTTGTTTGGGTCAGGCTGAGATAATTTTCCTCTCTGCCTTCAGTCTTTAAACTGACCATTTCCAGTCCTTCAGTGAAGCCAATTTTGGGTTTTAAACTTATCCGTACCGTCCGGTGACTCTCTCTCCGAGATGACATCCATTTTGCGCACTAATACCGGTATCGCAGCTAGAACATTGTCCAGCTTACGATTCACCTCGAGTAACATCCCAGTCTGAGAAGTCTCCACACGGTCGGTGCTTTCCGTGGGTGTGGGTCACCCTCCAATCGCTCCTGTCTTCCCAAATTTCCAGAAAACCAGATATCCTCCATCAGGAGAAATCCAGTGATCATCAGACCAAATATCCACACGTCTTCGATGTCCTCAATGGACAGCTGTGAGAGGCATATGATCTTCCACTCCTTCCAGTAATCCAAAATATATCCCACCAGGTGTTTCCCCAGTGGACATGTGGGAGCCCCCTGCTCCGTTCTCATGACTAAAAAAATCTTATCGATCGCATTGAATGACCAGTTTATCAAATCCATGGTTAGTAAAAATATAATTTTTCAGAAGAAATGCAGAGAAGTGCTCTGTGGGCAGACAGGACAAAAAGCCCTGGGGAAAAAAGATAAGGGAGCGAAAGAGGGAAGCGTCTGTACTCCTCGAGTGCCAGAACACTCAGTCATAGTGTCATGGTGCATTGAGTTGGAAGGTTACTTCTTTTTGCAACAACAGTTACACATTGTTGAGGCTGCAAACATCCAGCCTACACCAGCTGGTGTCAGCACACATCCCCAATTCCCCGCTAAGGCCTTTAAGAGCAAATAGCAGGTAACATTTTTTTTTCCAATTCTTATTAATGCTGTCAAAAAAACTATTTGAAATGCGTATTGTGGATATTTAATTTTAAAATACATTCCAGCAGAGTTTTCTTAGTAAAAAGAGGCCTTTTTCAGCAAAGCTTCTAAAAAGGCTCTTTTTCCTAAATCTGAACTTCTGACGTGAAAGTGTTTAATATACAAATTAAAATTGGGGTGCAGGCCAACACTGCGATTGGGTCACGGGGACAGCAGCCTAAGCAGAGAAGCTCAGACTTCCCTCTCTCAAGCTACTTGGGCCAGTGCCTCCAGGGGAATCCCAAGGGGCTCCTTGGTCAGCCAAGAGACATAGTCCTTCCAATTTGTCCTGGGTCTTCCTTTAGGTCTTGTCCTGGTTGGATGTGAAAACTTCACTAAGGAGGCATCCAGAAGGCATCCTGACCAGGTGCCTGAGCCACCTGAACTGGCTCATCTCGATGAAGAGGAGCAGCAGGTCTACACCGAGCCCCTCCCAGAGGACTGAGCTTCTCACTATATCTCTAAGGTAGAACCCAGCCACCCTGTGGAGAAAACTCTTTTTGGCCGCTTGTATCCACGATCTCGTTCTTTTGGTCACTACCCAAAGTTCGCAACCATAGGTGAGATTTGGAACGTTGATCGACTGGTAAATAGAGAGCTTGCCTTCGGGCTCAGCTCTCTCTTCACCACAAAATTCTAGTACAATGCTTGCATCACTGCAGACGCCGTACCAATCCACCTATCGATGCCACGCTCTATTTTTTCCTCACTCGTGACAAAACCTGGTGTGTAATGAGTCCTTAATTTGATTTCAATGTTAAATTTATATATATTTTTAGGTTTTCCTTTTTGTTTTTTCATTTTCCTTAGATTTAGGAGGAGTGGGGTTCCAACCGGGGTAAAAATCTCCTTCCATTATTCCGTAGGGTTAAAGTAATAGATTACAGTTATTCTCACCATGTTTGTCAAGAACCGAGTTCAGAAGACCCGTGAAGACGCCAACACAGTAAAAATATATATTAAAAAGTCTTTATTGAAAGCAGAGGTACCTGGAGGGCAAGGCTGAGGCAGGTTCAGAGGCAGGCTAAGGTCAAAGTGGCAGGCAGAGAGTAAGGCAGGGGTCAGGCAAAAAACAAGGTCCAGAGGCAAAGATCAGGCAGGGTGGATGGCTGGAGAACTACTGGCAAGGCTGTAATAATCTGGCATCTGTTGACTGGATGGCTGGTTCTTTTATAGCAGGGGAAGCAGGTGAATGGGATGAGGCTGATTACAGGAGCAGGTGGAATGAATGGAGCTGATTGAAGCTGACAGGTTGCTGGGGAAAGCAGGGCTTGGCTGGAGCTTGGTGAGAGGACAAGGTGAGCTGAATGAAGGTATAATGAGGAAGTGGAGGAGGGTGAAGGATGGGAGTCATGACAGAACCCCCCCCCCCCCCCCCCCCCCCCCCCCCCCAAGGGCGGATACCAGACGCCCACAGGAAACCAGAGCAGGGTGGGAGGAGGGGGACCAGGAAGGAGGGCCGGAAGGGTCTGGGGGACCGGCGACGGGGAACCAGGAGCCGGGACTGTGGGAGTCTGGGGGGCCGGCGACGGGGAACCAGGAGCCGAGACTGTGGGAGTCTGGGGGGCCGGCGACGGGGAACCAGGAGCCGAGACTGTGGGAGTCTGGGGGGCCGGCGACGGGGAACCAGGAGCAGAGACTGTGGGAGTGTGGTGACAAAGGACACTGGCGGACGTGGACTAAGAGGGGACACTGGACCAAGACCAAGACTAAGAGGGGACACTGGACTACGACTAAGAGGAGACACTGGACTACGACTAAGAGGAGACACTGGACTACGACTAAGAGGGGACACTGGACTACGACTAAGAGGGGACACTGGACTACGACTAAGAGGGGACACTGGACTACGACTAAGAGGGGACACAGGACTACGACTAAAAGGGGACACAGACACTAGAGACTGGGGAACTTCAGACTGGGGAACTTGAGGGCAGGAGGGGTCCTCTTCAGAGCAGGGGCAGGAGGGGTCCTCTTCAGAGCAGGGGCAGGAGGAGTCCTCTTCAGAGCAGGGGCAGGAGGAGTCCTCTTCAGAGCAGGGGCAGGAGGGGTCCTCTTCAGAGCAGGGGCAGGAGGGATCCTCTTCAGAGCAGGGGCAGGAGGGATCCTCTTCAGAGCAGGGGCAGGAGAGGTCCTCTTCAGAGCAGGGGCAGGAGAGGTCCTCTTCAGAGCAGGGGCAGGAGAGGTCCTCTTCAGAGCAGGGGCAGGAGAGGTCCTCTTCAGAGCAGGGGCAGGAGAGGTCCTCTTCAGAGCAGGGGCAGGAGAGGTCCTCTTCAGAGCAGGGGCAGGAGAGGTCCTCTTCAGAGCAGGGGCAGGAGAGGTCCTCTTCAGAGCAGGGGCAGGAGAGGTCCTCTTCAGAGCCTGGAGGCGTCGACCCTTGGACCGGAGCCCCTTGGACAGGCTGGGCCGGAGCCCCTTGGACAGGCTGGGCCGGAGCCCCTTGGACAGGCTGGGCCGGGACCGGGGCCTCTTGGACCTCATCCGTCGGAGCAGGATGCGATGCGTCCCCCGGGACCACCGACGGAGCAGGATGCGATGCGTCCCCCGGGACCACCGCCGGA